GTATCCGATCCGGATATTCAAATTTTTCTATTTTTACTATCTGAATCCGATCTGAATTTTTGGATATCCGGTTTTTCAGGATCAGATCGAATTCGGATCGGATTTCAAATAATTTTGCACACCCTTAGTTGGTGCAGAATTCTGTATCAACATTTTGGTGCTAGAAGGAGGGCCTCTGCCAATATTTCAAATATTTCGGCAAACATTCACTATAATTTAGCTGTTCTAGGACCAAAATGGTGTACACCAGATCGAAAACTAGCACCGAAAATCATGAGAACGTGGAAACCACCCACCAGGAGGTGCAACAAGAGAACGCTGGGCGCCGACCACTTATGTCGCCAACTCAGCACACCGCGGACAACCAGGGGGTAGGGACGTCAGCCCCCGAGAACAGCCAGCTGATGGAGATGATCGAGACAATGGTTGCATAGGCAGTGCAACAGAACGTGGCTGAGCTGAGGAACCAACAACCAGTTGCCCAGAACGACGACCAGTCGCATTTCGCCAACGTAATTGATAATCCGTAGATTATACTGCTTTTCTTGTTTATTTGGTTGGATTTTCGGATACTTTCCTTTGAATTTAGGCCTGAATTGCCACTTAATTCGTTCATTTCATATTGCAAGTCTAAAATGTATTTCCATATAGAAATGAAGCAAAAACGTGGTCAATCAATTCAAATTCGAGAGTTTTCAGAGTCAGGAATGTTAGAGGTTGATTAGAAGCACCCTCGAAGCTCAGATGAATGAGAAGGAAAGAGAAAATCGAAGATTCAAGTGTTGGAGCATGGAAGGGTAGTTCTGTAAATTCAACTAAATGGAGATAGAATTTCGCCCTAGCAAAAAGCATTTTCGCCACGGCATGAAACTCTCGGGTTCAATGTGTATTTTTGTGCTTCGTTGCGATGCCGCGGCGAATTCTGGAAACTTTTGTTTTGTAAAAACGTTGTGTTTTACTTATATTGTTTTAGTTCCTAGGGTTTTTGGCCGACTATGTAAGAGAGACTTAGTTCATTTTTTAGAGGAGGTTGACATTTTTAGATAAAGGGAAGAGGAGAAAGAGAATTGAAGAATTTGGGTCTCCAAAATAGGGAAGAATTCATTTCTCTTTCAACTTCTAATATGTTGAACTCCACATTTATAGTTTATGTGATGTTTTCCTTTATTTTGAGCATGAACTAACTCACTTTTAGGTTAGGGTTTCGATGTAACTTGGATTACAACGGTTTAGTCTATAAATTTGTGTTGTTTTTTAGTTCTATTGCTTGGATTATGTGTTTATTCTTGTTCTTAATGCAATTAGATGTTGGTTTCTTTTGATTCAATTAAATGTTGAGCATGATGAGACTGAGAAGTGATTCATGTGTTAGCTTCTTAGAGTAAACACCGTAGATTAAGTAAACGCTAGAGATAGGTTTAGCGATCTATGAAATCTTTATAGGATTCCATTTAGCTTGATAGACTTTGAACTATTAACCTTCATTTTGTTGGGTGCGAAAGCTTAATAGGGATAGGTAGGAGAATATAGCCTGAGAAGGTATATTCTACAACTTAAGGAATTCGATTTATAATCCTTGCATGTGAATCGGGAAGCAATAGCAATTGTAGGTTAAACTAGAGTATCCTAGTGAAGTCGAACCCTAACCTCATTTGCCTTGATTTGAATTTGTGTTGATTGGTTTAGTGTTAATCTTAGTTGTTTGATTTTGTGTTTTAATTCTAGCTTTACTTTCCCCCATAATTCCAACATTTTTGTATTCTTCAATTAGTAATAGAATTAGGAAACTCCGTAATTAGCACGCAATCCTCGTGGGAACGATACTCTACTTCATCATTGTATTACTTTTTTAGACTAGTGCACTTGCTACATATCCATGTTTGTCAAACCATGCATCAGCAATCCCAACAGGTATGAATTCTACAAGTGGACGATCTATTTCGTCACCGCCAAGGGGCGATCAACACCTCCAACCTTGCAACAGCAATCCATGAACGAGCGTGAGTCTCGCGGGCAAACAAACTCCGGGAGGTGGCCAGGGAAGCAGCCTCTAAGGGAAAGCAAAGGCGACGGATACCACCGAGAAGCTCGATGGTATCCCGAGCGTCAGCATACTGGTTTTAACTCATGCCCAAGGCAAGATCGATCTTCATAGGCTAGCGAAGTGAGTCATGTGCGTCAATCCGGTAATGACCGATGTTCTGGTTATGACCAACGTTACGAGCAACGCATTGACGAGCATGATAGCACATATCAACCCAGCCATCATGACTCGACCTCGCGCATCAATGCGCACACCGGAGGAGCTTCGCAAGCAACAAACTTGCAGACTTATTTCCTCGAGATAAGGCTTAATAGAGCCAGCTAGGGCAACCAAAATGAAGACTTAGATCGCATGTAGAGGATGCTTGATGATCTAAAAGCTCTCTAGAATAACTAGGCGGAGGAAGTAATAAGTTCCTTCTTTACGGAGGAAGTTCGTCAGGCCCCACTCCCATAAGGGTTCAGGGCACCGGAAAGCAAGTTCAATGGGAAAGGGGACCTCAAAAACCACCTCGACAACTTCAATGACCTAATGGAGCTACACCAGGTTAGTGACTTAGCGAAATGCCGGTACTTCGCAGTCACATTAGTCAGAGATGCCAAGAGGTGGTACAAAAGGCTCCAGGCAAACTCTATCTACTCTTGGCAACAATTCTCCTCGCTGTACTTACAGCAATTTCAGGTGAGGAGGCAGTTTGTGATGCCACTTAGCTACTTGAGCAACATTCGCCAAAAGCAAGACGAATCACTGACCTCGTATTTAACGAGGTTCTAGAACGAGCAGGCAAAAGTCGTTGACGCCCCCGAAGAATCCATTCGAACTTTACTAATCGTAGGGATCAAACTTAACATGGAGCTGTGGAAAAAGCTTCAGAGTGAAGAACATATGAGCCTGGCCAAATTCTACCAGATGGCCATGAAATACCAGCGAGTAGAGAGTTTGCTGGCAGCACTAGCCAGAAGCTCAACGCGGGGGGTCCTGGACAGGAGAAAAGATCGCCCCTCAAATAAGCATTGGGGTCAAGATCACAATGACAGGGATCGCAATAAGTCCCAGAAGAAACAAAGGATAGATAACCGCGGTGACAGGAAACCTTTCCCACGGTATGCAGAATACACCCCCTCACTCAAGACATCGCCTACATCTACAAAGTGTCTCGAGAGGTGAAGAGATTGCCAACTCTAGAAAGGATGAAGAGGGCTCCAGGCAGAAGAGGCTGGTAAAAATATTGTCGATACCACAGAGATGTCGGGCACAACATGAATGATTGCCGAGCCCTGAAAGACGCCATCAAAAACCTGATTAGAAGAGGCCACCTGAAAGAATTTGTTAAGGCAGAATTGGCTCGCGAAAACTCTGGCGAGCAAAGTAGTCAAGCCCCAGGACAGTTTCAGGTTCTAGCTCAGCAAGCTCAACCAAATCCCAACGAAGTCTTCACGAATATGATCTACGGAGAGCCCGACATAGTAAGGAGTTAGAGACAAGCTTGCGAGCAGTATGCTCGGGAAGCGAGGACAAACTCGGTCCCCTGAATAATAAGCTGCGAGAGAAAGCCACCTAAGCGGCCCAAACAAGAAAGCGAGGTAGTGGGGTTCACAGTTGACGAGTGCGAAACATCCCCACGTCATAATCATGACGCGATTGTAATCGTGGCCAGGATCAGCAATGCAAGAGTGTTAAGGGTTATGGTTGACAACAGGAGCGCGACAAACATTATACTCTTGGGAGCGTTCCGAGGAATGAGATTCATAGAAAGGAACCTGCAAGCGTGCCCCTCGCCACTCTATGGGTTCACCGAGGATAGCTTGGTTCCCAAAGGTACTATCAACCTTCTTGTAACTCTGGGGGCAGAACCAAAGGTCAAAACAGTGATGGCTGAATTCTTAGTGGTGGACTGCCCGACCACATATAACGTCATCTTTGGAAGGCCAATCTTGGATAATTTAAGCACAATCACATTGGTGCGCTGCCAAGCGATGAGTTTTCTGACTTTTAGGGGAGTCGCGACAATCAGGAGCTACACCAAGGAATCTCGAGAGTGCTGTAATTAGGCTATAAATGCGGCACAGAAATGGCTGCACCCAAAGACAATGATCATCGCAGAATCCAAGCCAAACCTCGGGCCGCTAGAGGACACTATAGACCTCGCATCCATAAAGAAAAGCTCACAGTGGGATCGACCAAAGAGTTGCTAGAAATAAGTGTTAGCGAGGAAGATCAAACTCGCGTGCTGAAAATCGGCAGCAACTTAACTAGAGAAATGGTCGATAATCTGGTCGGGTTCCTGAAGAGGAACCTCGACGTATTCGTATGGGTGCACGTGGATATGGTTGGGATCAGCTCCGAGGTAATGTGTTATAAGTTGAACCTCGACCCACAAGCTTGGCCCATAAGGCAGAAAAGAAGGGCCATGGATGCAGAACACTCTCAAGCGGTCAATGATAAAGTTGAAAAACTCCTGGAAATCAACTTCATCAGGGAAGTCAAGTACCCTGACTAACTCGATAATCCAGTCCTAGTCAAGAAGTCGAATGGCAAGTGGTGGACTTACGTCGACTTCATGGATCTGAACAAGGCCTGTCCAAAAGACAGTTTTTCGCTACCATGGATCGACCAACTAGTAGATGCAATAAAGGGAAATACGATATTGAACTTTATGGATGCATACTCGGGATAAAACCAGATCCCAATATACCAGCCCGATGAAGAACATACTTCTTTTATTACTGACTGTGGAATCTATTGTTACAGGGTTATACCGTTTGGCCTTAAGAACGCTGGGGCAACCTACCAACGCTTGGTGAACAAAATGTTCGCCAACCAAATCGGTCGATCCATGGAAGAATACATCGACGACATGCTCGTCAAGTCAAAGGTCATCGAAAGTCACATTAAGCATTTGGGGGGAAATGTTCAACATCCTTAGAAAGTATCAAATGAAGCTCAATCCGCTAAAATGTGCTTTCGGGGTAAGCTCTGGAAATTCCTAGGCTTCCTCGTGAGCCAACGGGGTATAAAAGCTAACCCTGACAAGATTCAACCCCTGCTTGACATGAAAAGCCCGACTGGCATAAAGCAAGTACAGAGTCTGATTGGACGTGTGGCCGCGCTCAGCAGGTTCGTTTCTCGAGCCATGGACAGGTGTTTACCATTTTTTGAGACCTTGAAAGGGAAGAAGGGTTTCAAATAGATAGAGGAGTGCAAAAAGGCCTTCCAAGAGCTAAAGAAATACCTCAGACAGCCTCCCCTACTATCAAAACCCATCCAGGGCGAGCAGCTACTACTGTACTTGTTGGTATCAAAATCCGCTATCAGGCTCCACCGCAAGAATTGACCACTCTGACAAGCTCATGGCCATTCGCGATCTAGGGCATCGACCTCATCGACCCATTGCCTCAGGGAAAATAGGGCGTTAAATTCGCAGTAGTCTCCATGTATTATTTCACTAAATGGGCAAAAGCCAAACCACTGGCAATAATAACGCTGAACAGGCTGAAGGATTTTGTCTATAAGAACATAATTTATCGGTTTGGGATTCCTCACACAATAATAATCGACAATGGGAAACAATTCGATAGTGAAGATTTCAGGACCTTATGCGAGTGGCTTGGCATCAAGAAGAGTTTCACTGCCGTCTATCGGCCTCAAGCCAATGGACAAGTAGAGGCTATGAACAAAGTAATCAAGCACACCATAAAGAAGAAGCTCGACGACCTTAAAAGGAGATGGACTAATGAGTTGCCAGAAGCTTTATGGTCCTACAGAACAATTGCCAGGAGCTCGACAGGCGAAACCTTATTTTCTTTATCTTATAGATGTGAGGCGATGGTCCCAGTTGAAGTAGGAATTAGTTTGTTCCGAATAGAAGCCTTTGACGAAGGAGCAAACGAAGACCTTCTTCGCCTGAGGCTAGACTTGATCGAAGAACATCAGGCCAAATCTTAGTTGAGGCTCGCCTCGTATCAACAGGGGGCCAAGCAATACTTAAATACCAAGGTAAAAAATAGAGACCTTCAAGTGGGCGATTTGGTCCTCAGAAAGGTCGTCTAAGGTACTCAAAACCCGAGCTTTGGGGCACTTGGGCCTAAATGGGAGGGTCCCTTCAAGATATCCGAAAAGCTCACACCAGGATCCTTTCACCTGGAATGCCTCAATGGTGAAGCAATAATGCGAGCTTGGAACGCCAAGCACTTGTGAAGGTATTACCAATACGTAGCTCGGGTTTCACTTGTTCTTATGTTTTGCATTCACGTTCGTTGTAAGGCCATTCACGGCCAAAATACTTGATCAATAAATGAGGTATTATTCATTATTTTCTATGATTCATTGTAAACATCTTAAGATCATTAGCATTTTACTAAATCGCGACCTAAGCGATGATATTCTAAAAAAACTCGAAGTCAAGAGCCACGCCAAAATCCAACTCTTTGGGGTGAAACACCCACAAATCGACGAAGTTAAACTTGAAATTAATTTCAAGGATAAACATGTCGAAGGAAATTGGCCTTAAGTCGGCGTCCAAAAAACTTGAAAAGGCCAATAAGGTCTGAAATCAAAGTTGAACGGCGCATAAGATTTCCTTGTACAAATCTGAAAAAGCTTATTAAGAAGCGAGCTACGCGTAACTTTAAGCAAATTCAGATTTTAGTGTTACAAGTCCTACTAGGACGACAAATCGACTTCGTAAAAGTATAATAAATATTGCTCGACATGGGAACGATAAAAGTTTCACTCATTGATTAAGTTTAATTACAAAGCCAAAAAAAAAAAAAAAAAAAATTACTTTTCAGGTGGGTGGGGAAGCAGGAGCTTCATCCTCAACCTGTCTAGGAAGGTCGTCACCAAGAGGAAGAGATGGCTCATCAACATGAGGAACGGTGACTTCCTCTCCAAGGTCAGGAACCTCACCTGGTGGAATCATGTTCAGGGGAGTTGGATCCTTGACCTAGAGTTGGGGCTTGACCTCCTTCTCGCCTCCTTCGGCTTCCTCTTGGTCCTCACCCTCTTTCTCAGACTCATCCGAGTAAACATAGGTCTCCCCCGAGCTTCGACCTTCATCATTTCCACTTCCTTCTGATAAGTTCGGGCAAGGAAAGAGAAGTTAATTGAAGGATGGGCTTCCCACAATTTTTAAATAAGGAAGACGGATGTTTCCTAGGCCCGAGTAGTAATTGCCTCGTTCAGCTCATCAATCCGAAGCCTGAGCTGTCTAGCCTCAACTTCGGCCTCTTACCGACCTACCACTTCCCAGCCAAGGGCAAGCAAAGACTGTTTGGACTTGGCCTCCTAGCTCGCGGCAGCTTTCTAAGCCAAGGATAGCTTAGAGTTTAGTTTGTTGTTGGCACCTCGCTGCTGTGCCAAAGTCTCCGCAATCTCTGCTGCCTTAGCTTCCATCTTAGCTCGGGCAGCCTCGTTCGCTATTAGCTTGTCAAGGAATTCCTTTTCCTTGACAGAAAAGGTTGCGATTTCCCTTGAGCTGCTCGAGCTCAGCATGCTTGGCCTTCTTCTCCTTCTCCTTCTCCTTAACTTGGCCCTAGCCAAAGCGTCCTCCTTCACTATCTTCGCATCCTACCATTTTTGGTGGTCGCCTCTAAAGTGTCGTTGCATTCCTCGTACAAAAGTCTGCTTGCCATGGAAACCTGAAAAGAGGAGATGAGGAGTCAGCACGAAGCAAGAATAACATGCAAAAAAAAAGGGGGGCGCGAACTACCGGTACCTTCGCCACGTAGCTGTAGGTTAAAGCCAACATCTGGGAGAGAGACAAGTCTTTGACGGTCGCAAATGTTCATAAGGTGACACAATCCCTGACCACCTTGACCCCAACACCGATATGGTAGGGGAGTTGGTCGATCAGCCTATCAACCACAGCTTGGGCCGCTTTGTCTGTCTCCTTACTCTTTGGTTGAGACAAGCTAGGTCTACTCCCCCTAGAAGCACTTGCCTCACCAGTAGGAGCGAACTTCTTCTTGGCCAACCCTTTGACCGCTTCTTTTCAAAGGTTGCCGGCTTGCGTGGCGACCTCTTTGCCTGAGCCAATTTGCTGCTCGAGTGCTTTATTTTTTCTCGAGCCTCCAGTTGGGTTGAATGTCTTCTTTGTTGGCCCCTTTTAGAGTTCCGTAACACTTTTCCTGCCAACTACCTTAGTGGTGGTCGTGGGCTTCTTCGTGCTTAGGCTTCCCCCAAGCTTGCCACCGGCACGCTTTGAGCTGGCAATGTTTGTGGGCTGCTTCCTCCCCAAAGCAGTCGAAGCCTTCATGACGGCTGCAGAGGCAGTCGTTTTTTTTTTTTCGGCTCACATTTCTACAAGGAAAAAGGCAAACGAGTTAGCAATCTATTTGCGCAAGAAAGCAAGTGCGAGTAAGTAACAGCTTAACCTTTCTCCAAAAGCGCTAGAAAATTGGCCTCGACCTGACAAAAGCCGTACGCTTTCAGGTGAGGAAGCGTAAGAAGCTCATTAACGTTGCGCAGATTGTCCGGAAGATTGCTAAAACACTGCAGCCTCTGTAAGCTCGCAGTTAGAAGATAACTTTGCTCGACATTAACTGCAAAAACAAGACAGGACAATCAGTTAGAATGTAGAGCTTGAGAACAATCCTCGTACGTACACGGGAAGCTCGAGCCTTACTCGCTTCCATAGAGAAGACATCGGTCTTCGGTCTTCGTAAAAAAAGAATTGAGAATCCTAGTGTGGAACTTTCTTTGGAACGTCGACTAACCCGTTGAAATATACTCTCCTCACTTTGGAAAGGTAGTACATCTGGTCTTACCCTTTTCTGAGCCTGTACAAGTGGACGAGCTCTTCGACGGACAGCTCGCCTAAGTCAACGATCATGTACGCGATGCACATCACGATAATGATCACGTAAGAATTGGCCTTCAGTTGAAAAGGAACAATGCCAAATCGCCTCAACACGTTATCGATGAAGTAGTGCGGGGGAATGGATACCCCACACCTAAGGAGAGTCTTAGAGGTGGTTACCCATCCATGTAGGGGGTTCTTCCAAGAATATCCCTCTAGAACCATCAAGTTAAGTTGCGGCGCGTAGACCACTCTTATGCGTTCAAGATTCCCGAGGGTGATCGATGATTGTGGTTCTCTTCGTAGCCTATAGGCTGGAGACAGCGAGGAGTGAGCCAACTGAATCAAAGCATGATCGGACAAGCCCGCAGCGTCAGGGTCTGAGCTTTGAGCAGCGAATTCTTTAAAGACCTCGAGGGACACATCCCCTAGGGCACCAAGCCTGCCGGTGAATCGAACATTCGGTCAATGGTACGACTACTAGAGGAAGACATGGATGTAGCTCGCTTTTGGGTACCTGAAAAAAGAAGCGAACATGTGTTAAAGCTTGAACAAATTGACGACCATTCCACACTCACTTCTATTTTAGGCACCCGAGATAGCTCCCGTAATACAACAAAAGGACGCGACTTACCTAGGATATCAGCGACCACCACGTTAAACCCCTTTAAAGCCTGAGACCGCCAGAAACACAACCAAAAACCCTACTAAAATCTTAAAACATCCAATGTGGCCACGACAGTAGCCACCATTTGACTCAAAAATCAGAAAAACAGAAGAAAATAAGGAAAAGAGCCTTACCAGAGTAAGAAAAGTGTTGGGAACTCGTGAGACAGATCACCGTGACGACGTAAGAATAACAGCAAAGGAGAACCAGAGTCAGAATAACTTTCAGGGTGACTATTTTGAGGTTTTTCGCTACCTTTTATAGTGGTTTGCATAGGAGACAAAGGGGCAGGGGTTTAATCGTGGCCGTCGACTTGCAGTCAATCCTGACCCTTCATTCATCAAGCAATCTCAACCCGTAGGCGTGGCCATGTGTCAACCATCCGCAAGGAGTGACAAACCGTCAGATTGCTATAATGATAACCATCGCAGCACGTCACCTTAACTTGCGTGTGAACAGCTGACATCGCCCACGCGCGAGGAAACGTAACTGACAAAGGCCGCCGCATTTAATGCGACATGACCACGCAAAAACTACCTGTATGCCCTAACTGTTCATATCCTGAGTTTTGACAGGTACCATGAGGAATAAAGATCCAAGTGTAAGGTACGTCGGCCAAGCACAAGGTTGATCACGAGGGCTCGATTGGACACACACTCGAAGACTCATTGTTGAAGTCGAGCTTGGCATCAGATCAAGCAATAGTCTTCAAAGCCTGAAATGAGCATCTAACACTAGGGGGTAGATGTTGTGTGCGATTTTTCTGCCAAGCTCGGGCCAACTCGAGGATATAGCTCGACCCAAAATGAGCTCGGCAACTATGATTGATCAACCCAGCATAAGCTCATCGAGCTATAGCTCGACCCAACACAAGCTAGTCACGAACAATTCAAGGAATTATTCAATCAATCCCTAGATTACTTCAGATCCCAGATATTACGGGAAAGACTGGATCAACGGTGATCACTGCGCAATCATAGCGCCCAATCGCGAGGATATCAGAATTATGATTCGAATAAGTTGTAATCCCCTAAATTTTGTTTTTTTCTTTGTATCAACCTTGTATATATGCCCTCTCAAACAATGAGGAGGGGGTTACGAATTTCAGTTAAAAATTACATTATAAGCTCTCACATCAAATACAAAAACACAGTGGACGTAGGTTGTTAACCTGGCCGAACCACTTTAAAAATCTCTTTATTCTTAGTTCATTTCATTCATATTAATCGCTGATTTTCACTAATCACGCACACATCAATTTCGATCCCGGCAAAGTCGATTGGATCACGCTAGTTGGTGCAGAATTCTGCATCAACAAGTATATAATAAAAAAATTAAAAAAAATTAAAAATTGAAGTGGAAAAAGCGAGCTTTAGAGCATCTTAGTCTTGCATTTTCATTAGATTACAAAAACTCAAATCAACAAAAGCTCAAGCATATTGCAACAAACCTAGATTAGAAAACACAAAATCAACCAAG